CCTCCCTTAAACACGGAAGTGGCAGTTAGCGCGCTGTCAGTATTTAAATATAACAGGAAAATCAGTCGTGATTTTACTCCCAAGTGCCCGTGAACTACAGCAGCTGCCCCTCGTGCTTGTCATTTAGACACAACTGAGTTAGCCTGCTAGCTCAGCAGCAGTCATTAGCTGTATCAATGAGCACTTTCTGAATGGTCGGGATTTTTGAATGATAGGACCCCGGCATTAGAATAACCTAATTCCCTCACTAGTTTCTATTGAGTGAATTAATACAATTCACGCATGTCTTGTTTTCCTGTAAACGACTGTACAGGTGTCAAATATCACGCGCATGTCTTGTAGCCGTTGTTCAATTGTTATGGAATGGATCACGACCCAATGGCAAGGCAAGTTTATTTATGTTGCACGTTTCATACACAATGGTAATTCAAAGTGCTTTACATAAAAGGAATAAAATAATCATAAAAATAATCACAACAATAAAACAAGGAAATACTTTTTAAAAAATAATCTAAAAAGTTAGTTTGTTTATTTGTCATAGAAACAAGTCCTCCGCACCCTGTTCTAAAAGATGTCTGCACATACGGTTACATTATAGCGACTCTAACAGCACATATTTTAGATTTTAAATGTAAATATAAAGGCCGTTGGAACCTGTGTAACTATTCATAAAATGTGACCCTGGACCACAAAACCAGTCATAAGGGTATTTTTTTTAAATTGAGATGAGATGGGACAATATTTGGCTGAGATACAACTATTTGAAAATCTGGAATCTGAGGATGCAAAAAAAAAAAAAAAATCTAAATACTGAGAAAATCGCCTTTAAAGTTGTCCAAATGAAGTTCTTAGCAATGCATATTACTAATCAAAAATTAAGTTTAGGTATATTTACAGTCGAAAATGTACTAAATATCTTCATAGAACATGATCTTTACTTAATATCCTAATGATTTTGGGCATAAAAGAGAAATCAATAACTTTGACCCATACAATGTATTGTTGGCTATTGCTACAGCTATATAGCCTCTTTATGGCTATACACTTTATGCCACATTGCAGCCCTGTAACTTTCTCATGTGTTATTAAAATGAACCAGGGCCACAAACAAAAGCCTACTGAGGCACCTTTATAGAAATGTGATGCCCCATTAATCAAGTGCTCATTTAAATATTCCATTCAGTTTTTTTCTCACCCTTTGTGCCAACAAGCTTGTTAATGTGGCGTCAATCATGTGGAAGCAGTCAACGATCCTGCATAACGTATGCCGCACCCTATCCATATACACCACAGACCAGCTGTGTAAACCTAAAGCAACTGATGTTGTTTGCAGTGTGCACGAGTCAACAGCAGTAATCCTATATGATTGTGTAGTGACTCCGCCTATGATTTCAGGTTTTCATAGAGGTTTTTTCTTTATATACTCAATACATATAATCACATTACACCTATGACCTAGTCTCACAATCTGGACAGTTGGCTGCTCTTGTGTTTTAAAGTTTGGGTTTATTTGGCTATATGGAAGCATAATTCCACATTGATTACATTTGACAGGAAGATTGAAAAGGATAGTTCACCCTGAAAATGAAAATTCTGTCATCATTTACTCACCATTTATTTGATTCCAAACCTGTATGAAATGTTTCTTCTGTGGAACATAAAATACGATATTTTGAGAAATGTCCCAGTAGTGTTTTTTTTTGTCTATACAATGGAAGTCACCAAAACTGTTTGGCTATCAACATTCTTTAACATATCATCTTTTATGTTCCACAGAAGAAAGTCATACAGGTTTGGAACAACATGAGGGTGAGTAAATGATAACAGAACTTACATTTTTGGGCAAACCATCAACAGTTCTTTAAGAGAATTGACAAATGTATGTGTTTTTTTGCTTCACTCTAGTAAGCAATGGTGTCAGTGTCAGTTAGGAAGGGAACCAACAAATGCTATGCTAGCTTTTATGAGAAGCCTCATTGTTTTAGCATTTTCTCAGGGGACCGAACAGAAAGTAGGCCTGTGTTATCATCATTATTAGCAGGGTGAATGATGGGAAGACAAAGTACCACCCAAAACATGTCTGACTCACTTGAAAGGGTGCAGGTATATTATTAGTAATGAATGTTGATAATTGTTCCTGAATGACTAAAATAGTTACTGCTGTACATAAAGCACCATTTTTTATCATCTGCTCTCTTCTTCTCGAAGTTCTTCCTTCTAGGTTTCCCTTAATACCCATCTACCTCTGATTTTTCACTACTTCTTCATTGCATTGCCACCCATCTCTCGTTGCCTGAAGCCATGGCTGCTAACAGGAATGCTTTGGCCCTTCACAAAGTAATAATGGTGGGCAGCGGTGGCGTGGGCAAGTCGGCACTAACACTGCAATTCATGTATGATGAGGTAAGACTTAATATTTCGGAATTTCACATCATGTGTACATTGAGGTTAACCACAAAGTATAATTGTGCTGATCTCTTTCAAAGTTTGTGGAAGACTATGAGCCCACCAAAGCTGATAGCTACAGAAAAAAGGTGGTTCTGGATGGAGAGGAGGTTCAGATCGACATCCTCGACACAGCGGGACAGGAGGACTACGCTGCCATTCGGGACAATTACTTCCGCAGCGGAGAGGGATTTCTCTGCGTGTTCTCCATCACAGAATCTGAATCCTTTGCTGCTACTGCTGATTTCAGGTAGAGAGATGACTTGAAAACTGGTGATTAACACAACACTGGTATTGCAGGGTACAAGTCAAAAGGTTAGCTAAATATGTTCATGCAGCAAAATGTTTTTTTCTGCACGAGTTTTCTCATTTTATCTCTAAACTTCAGAGAACAGATCCTTCGGGTAAAAGAGGAGGAGAACGTACCTTTCCTGCTGGTGGGAAATAAGTCAGACTTGGAGGACCGACGGCAAGTCGGGGTGGAGGAGGCCAAGGCCAGAGCAGATCAGTGGGCAGTCAGCTACGTCGAGACTTCTGCCAAAACCCGTGCCAACGTAGATAAGGTAGGCCTTGCAAAAACTGGTTTGGCAACAATTACATGTGATACTTTTAGGGATAGTTCAATCAAAAATTAAAATGGTCATTTATTCACCCACATGTTGTTTCAAGACTTTTTCTGTGGAATTTTAAAAGAGATTGTGAAAAATGTTCAGGTTTGGATGACTTGAGGGTGAGTAAATGATGACAATTTTTCATTTTTTAAGTGAACTATCCCTTTACTAAGCAGAATGAATCATTCTGTATTAGCAGTGCTAATGTTTCATACAAACTTCATAATCTCTCCAGGTGTTTTTTGATCTAATGCGTGAAATCAGAGCCAGAAAAATGGAAGATGGCAAAGAGAAAAATGGAAAAAAGAAGAGGAAAAGTTTGGCAAAGAGAATTCGAGAAAGATGTTGCATTTTATAACGACTGGGTCGCACTATAACACTAACATCTTTTCTCTACCCTTCCACTGCTTCCAAAAAAAATCCACCAGGTTTCATCACATTTAGGCCTGTCGCGATGATAACTTTTTGTTGTGCGATATATTGCCCCAGAAATAATTGCGATAAGCGATTTAGATCATGGAAATTAAGTATCAAAATATTAGATACCTTAAAACGCTTGAATAAATAGTAAATAAACATTTTCTAACAAAAAGTGCAAAGTAACAAGTAGAAAAATGCACAAATAACTGAAAAACACAATCACTACTTAGCAGTCAGATGTCCGTATACGGAAAGGCACAGATCCCTAAACAAGACCATATCTGCAGATTAAGCTTTTTTTTTTGAAGATGCATTTTTTAAATTTGAACTAGCACCTCATGACGACTACACGTTATGTACGAGAAGTTGCAAAAGACAGGCGCAAGTGGAATGTACAAAACATGGTGACATTATTTTTTAAGTAAATATAATGGCCGATATATTGCGTTACCAAAAATTATTGATGTCATGTACATATATTGCACGATAAGTCGATATATTGATTATTGCGACAGGCCTAATCACATTATCTCCTTAAAACTCATCTAGACTACAGGCTGTGTCTGTTTCTTCTCGTTGTTGTTTCTCAAAGGGTATAAAAGGGCAGAACAACATGCATTAAAATGGCAAACGGTATCAAAGGTCTGACATATCAGATGAAAACATTTCTCAGCTCAAGCACACCAGAACTGACTACTATAATAATTTTTAATGACTTAGATTGTTTACTTTAGTTGCTTTTAGTTGAATGTGAGTAAATTGATTGCTAAACACTAACACTGTAGGAAAAATAATACTACTCTGAACTATTTGTTAGCAAGTTCATGGCGTGTTTTGAGGATTTAAACCTTCTGTTCTGTTTTACTTCCTAAAGTAAAGCCTTAATGTTACAAAAATTTTGGGTGTCAAGCTGCACAAATGCTTTTAGGTCATGCTTTTTATATAGCTATATATCTTTGCCTAACATAGGGAATGCTAAATATTACCCAAGCAAATGCTCAAATTATTAAAAATAGCTAATAAACACAGGAATCAATGGAGCTTATTCTTAATTGGCTCTTTTACTAAAACCTTTCTTTGAATTCAGACAGTCAAAAAGGGTAAAAGCCCATGCATTTCAGAAAAGTTGGCACTGTCCTTTATTTCATTGTAATGAGTCTAATAGTGCACCAAACTCGATTCAAATATGTGACCCTGTTTTAAGTCGCTGGGGTATATTTGTAGCAATAGCCAAAAATACATTGTCAAAATTATCGATTTTTCTTTTATGCCAAAAATCATTAGGATATCAAGTAAAGATCATGTTCCATGAAGATATTTTGTAAATTTCCTACCATAAATATATTAAAACTGATTAGTAATATGCATTGCTAAGAACTTCATTTGGTCAACTTTAAAGGTGATTTTCTCAATATTTTTATTTTTTTTGCACCCTCAGATTCCCAAATAGTTGTATCTCAGCCAAATATTGTCCTATCATAACAAACCTTACCTCAATGGAAAGCTTATTTATTCAACTTTCAGAAGATGTACAAATCTCAATTTTGAAAAATTGACACTTATGACTTGGTTTTGTGGTCCATGGTTACATATGTGATTTAACATAACCCAATCTCTCCTAAAACACACATACATAAAATGTTTGTAGTTAAAAGGGCTTATTCACTCATCCCTGTGTATGGCACTAGATTTAGAGGTTTGTTTTGTGCTATCTAGGGCTCCCAAATCACACAGATTTTGCAATTTAGAAACGAGAACGTCATTTAGCTTGAGTTGACTTAACTGTGAAAACAGGTTGGAACGTTTTATTACACAGACTGAATTGTGTATTGTGTTTATTATAACTTATATGCAACTGAATATTTCTTGCTACGTTTATCCGGTGTAATTATATTTTCTATTGTAAATTAAAATTTTCTGAATTTTAGTTCTAAGGGGAAGAGTATATCACAATCTGCTTTTCAGACACCTGCAGATCTGGAGTAAACAAGAATCGTCACCCTTTGATGAATGGTTTTGAATAAGCACATCCATGTGTAAATAAATATGAGGTTGACCGTTTATTTCCACATTACCGTTTTTTTTTCTTTTGCAGCTAAAACTACGGTTTCTTTTAAATGTTAACTGTCTGTACTCTTCTTTTAAGTTGTGACTGTCTTTACCCAAATCTTTATGTGTGTACTTTGGCATATGCAAGTTTTTCTTTCCCTTTGTTTAGTCAGTCATAGTGGGTTACTATCCCTCAACAAACTCTTGATTGGTCTGTTTGTGCGGTAAGCCTGCCATGTGGCAATGATGCTGACATATCAACAGCTGACGCCTCAAGAGACCCCTTATTACTTTAAAAAGTGACTGTCTTTGAGCGCAAAAAAAATAGTTTACAATACAAGACATTTTAATATAAGCCTCTATTGTATGAGTCTTTCTTCTACAGTTAGATTACACTTTCATTCTATATTTTGGGCGTCTCTTGGCAAAACGCTGAACATGCAGAAATCTGAATTCAAAATAGGGTAAGGGCAAATTATAAGCTTTATCGAAAGAACTAGCTGACAACCAATACAAAAAAAAAAAAAAAACTGACAGCACTTATGTAATGTATTACAACAGTAATTATGGTGATATGAATATTGAATGAAAATGAAATGCAAACATTTAAGCATACTGAACTTAAAATGTAAAATGTTATGTTTCTGTTACATTAATAAAATTTATTTTTGTAGACCTCCAATATGAGATTCATATGGTATATTATACAGCAAAAATGTAATGCCTACAGAAAAGACTGAATTACAACTTGCAGAGATGTGCAGTAATGTTACGGTGTTTTATCTACATTATCCATGGTAAGATTAATTTTGAAGATATTAAACATGGTTTTAGTAAATAAAGTGTAACAGATTTCAACTTCCAATGTTTTTGACAAGGACTGTATCGCATTACAACTTTTAATTATATTTGGCTTATAATTCAACAATAGTTCTTTGTGGGCTGTTTATGATTACAATGTCTGTTGCCAGTCTATGTTGAAATGATCATAGACTGTGATAAAACCAAAAAAAGTCACCAAAAATAAAAAGTACAAAAACAAAATAAACAGTCCATAGAAAATTAGTAAAGGAGCCAAACTTACAAATACTTGACCTGACCTGTTCTAGTTAACAGCACACAGTCAATATTGAGAGGTAGATGGACGTGTTGATCAGACATCTTTTGTTAGACTGCATTTTGAGCTTGAAGACATATTCCTCTGAATTCAATGAAGGATTTACAAACTCCATGGGAGTGGGCCAGAGATGGCAAACTACTAGGAATAGGCAGCCAGTTACAATAGCACCCCATTTTTATGATGCTGTCGTTGAGGTGCAGATATAAAAGTAAAAGAGAATGTCTCTTTAAACAAGCAAGTACATACGATTTTAGAAAATGTTGTGAAGTCAGTTTCTCAATAATTATTGCTGGTGAATCCTGCCTCAGGTCCATGTGTTCGGCTGGCTCCGTTTGACTTTAAAAATGTAGTGCACTACTGGTGCACTAAATAAAAAAGGACTGTTCAGTGACTTTTCCCGCTCACTGAAGTTAGATAAAGGTTTAATTGTAGTACCTCCCTTGTCTGCTTGTATTGGTTTGTTTGGAGTTGCATTTAGACTGAGTTTGTGTAACTGAGATGGGCTGTAGGTCAGCCCAGGGATCTTGGAGCATTGATGGTTTGTAATATTTTTCCATATCATTTGTCCCTCTCTCCCTGCCATGCGCTGACCCAAACGGTGTGGATGTCCGTGGTGAACCCTTAAGAAGAAAATTGTCATGCAGAAAGACGTTAAAACGACCACAGTTACTCAAGAGATTGTATAGTAGTGTCCAAACCAACAACAACAAAACAAACGTTCACAGATCGCAGAAATGAATTCGGATTAGAGCAGCAAAATACCGCAGAGAAGTGAAATTACAGCACAAAAATGTTTAAAACTCAAATTGCGCATTAGTATTTTAATTTGGCCCTGAACGTGAGTGAACTACCTGATATCCAGAGTGTCGTCTGGGACTCTCATACGGCGAGCGTCTGAACGGTGCGCCGCGGGGACTGGGGCTCGATCTGCGCGGGGTTTGAGCCGGAGACTGACCGTTAAAATACTTCCCACCACCACCGCCGCCGCCGCCTCTGTTACCACCAAACTCTCTCGGTGGGGTATTGGGAGAACACTGTCCAAATCTAGGTCCAAACGGCGGCGGTGGGGTTGAAAATGCCCACGGAGGCGATGGAAACATACTCCCTGTCCTGTCGAAGGCTGGAGGCGGGCTGCGGAAGCCTGCGGCCCGCGGACCAGAGCCCTGGCGGGGATGGCGAAACTGTGGTCTTTGCATCGCGTCCTGATCTGTTTCCCAAACCTCAAAATACAAGTGTATTTAAAAAAAACAACACGACGCTCTTAAACCCGTTTTTCACTTAGCATAACAAAACAACACGACCCGGAACAAGAAGCGTCTCTCGGCGATTATCATTTGAATAGTCAGCGAAAGACTCGGTACTGCCGCCTATTCTCATGGCGCGTGAAGCGCCCATACACGCGTTTAATCATCGAAAGTACCACTAAACCAACCATTTAAGAAAAGTTTCAGTGTAGTTCAGACACTCGTTTCTTCGAGTATATGTTAAATAAGGGGGTATGTGCTTTTGGATGCTGTTTTTTGGGGGGCAACTAGCTTTATTTCAGGCGAACGCTAGGGGTAGAGTGGAGGAAAATGCCCCCTACTGTCCCAAAATCCCAAAATAACCGATAAAGTCGAGATACATTTTTATTGTAATATGGACTACGTTTTCAAGAGTGATGTAGAAATTTTCACCATGAACCTTACACTGGTGATGTATCTGAGAGAAAACCGATTTAACAGTAAATGATCTAATTTTCGGCAGTAAGAAAAAAAAAGTGATTTAAAGCTTATTGTTTCGTAGAAAATCACAGTTATATTTTGATATGAGAACAGTAGGGCCTGTAGGGAGTAGGTAGGTAGGCTACGTGTTATTTAAGAAAAATATTTTCAGAATTACATATTTTTTTCTCTCAATCATAGTCCGTGGGGTTAAACACCCTCTTGGTACAAATAACTTTTTTGTAAAAAAAAATCTAATAACATGAAAACTCTGGACATTTTTCATACTTGGTTTATAATTTATGTCATTGTCACTGAAACTATGATAGGCTAACTTTTCTGAACAGATTTCACTTTTGTTTCACAGAAAAAAATTGCACAGACCTTAAAGGGGGTGTTTTCTATCTCATCAGAATTAAATTGCATTAAAGAAATAGCCTACTTTTGTGTCAGTCTTTGCTTTTGTCAATATAATGAGAAAAACAGCTACAGTTTTTTTTCTCCTGTAGTCTAATTTTTTCCTCTCTCATTTCACTCCTCTGTATGTGCTTTTCTCTAAAATGTCTCTATTGCATACCAACACATTAACTGAAGTGCATATGCTTTGTATTTAATATTTGTCTAAAACCTGCATGAAATGTAAAATTAGGAATATGCCCCGGGAAGTGCATGGGAATTTATTGAAAGCAGTGTTTATCTCTTTATGTTTTATTAAGATATTTGTGAGAGCTATATCACTGTGCTTAAATTTCTACAATGTAAATAATAAATTTTCGAAGTTGTAAACAAAACAAAGATTACGCTATTGGAGTAGGCTATATATTTTACAAGAAAATAGTATTCAGTTTTTCTACTTATAAATGTCATGTGTACTTTCCATTTGAATTATTTGTGAAATTCACTAGCAATTTCTGAGTGAAAATTATTTGAAAGTAAATATTTGAAAGTGTGGTTTGTGTTTGTGTGTGTGCGTGCGTGCGTGCGTGCATTGGAAACTAAACGCTTGTTTCTCTTCAGCTGTCAGTAGAGGTCAGTGTAACCATTACTTTTTACACAGTTCGTTTAGAAAATAAAGCAATGAGCAGATTAATGTGTGTAACGAACCTTTGCACTAAATAAATAGCAAACCATAACATTAAAAAAAATCTCTACACTCTGTGGAAGGGGCCAGGGTTCCTGTTGTGAATAGTCCCCTGTTGAGGTCATGTCCCTGTTTTATTAGCTGTGCTTTTGAAAACAGATCATAATTCATCAAAGACAAAGTTTTGTGCTTTCTGCTAAGAGGAAGGAGGAATTTTCCCACAGCACCAGAGTTCTGATTCAGGACTGCTTATGGATTGAGTTCTCAAGCATGTTTTCTTTTACTACATTATTTTGTTCATTTCAGAGCTCTTGTGTCAAAGTGTCATCGGTGGAGCAGTGTTTGGTTTTGCTATTATTTAATTTGGAAATCAGGATGCAGAGAAAGTGTGGCCTTAAGAGGCAATCTAAAGCTTGAGACATTACATTTGAGAATTTCCACTAGGACTAACGGCTGCAGTGAGAATACATGGCATTAGAATTTTCTAATTGTCACTACTAAGTAATTTTGGAAAATAATATAAGTTGTAAATCATGGTGTTAGTTCATTTGGATGCTTTTTTTTTTAAAGATAATTTTTCAGTGTTAGAAATTTCTCAACTCAGATATTAAGTTGGCATACCAACTGCAGTGTTTTTGTCCTGCCTGAGAAAGACAATGATGACCATTAGTGGGCTAAAGATCAGACGCAGGCTTGACTGGAATGGCCTGAAAATTGAGTCTGAAATTAACAAGCAAGTACATGCACACAAAAAATGCAGACTGGCACATGAGGCATGCTTTTGTTTGCAAAACGTGGTGAACAAAATGTTTTATGGGAAAAAAAACTGTGTCACTGAAAGGAATAGGCCATCTCATTGAGAAACAATGTGGCACTCAGATGAACCGTGTTCTCAACTTCTACAATTTTCTTAGTTTACTGTTTTTGTTGCAGTCCTAAAAATACCCTGAAACCTTGTATGTTCTTGTTATGATGAGAGTACTCGAAACAAAATGTGTGTTGGAAAAAAAAATGTATACCACATTTAGTTTTGCTCCTTGAATTGTATTGGTCAGCTGCATTCCATGAGTGCTGATATACAGTCCATCCAGTAGGTCTGTAGGTGGTGATAGATGACCATCTTTACAAGTGAATCATTCATTCAACCGATTCTTTCATAAATTAATTATGAATTCAGGAACTTATTAGCTGTCTAAAATCGCGAAATTTATTTAAGAGTAGGTATTTCTTTTGAATATGTCATTAGGCCTACTTTGCAACTGTTAAAAAGTATGTTCTATATAGTGTAAATTTAATCTGAATTTACAAAATGTGTCCTGTTGTAATTGTTATATAACCTACCAGCAATGTTTGTGTCCAAAGTGTCCATTGGATGTGCACTTAAGTATCTTGCTGAATATATGGAACTTGGAAGTATGCATATTCTGATATAGCGTTTTATAGTCAGTCATTGATTTTTTTCAATCAAGCGATTCTTTCAAAATCAATCAAACGATTCTTTTGTTCTTTTCATTCTGTGAGTTTGTTTAGATCTAGTTTCATTGGCAGAGCGAAAATAGAAAAAGTAACTGTCAATACTGTGTAAAAAGATATATTTTATATTGACTTATTGTTCATTGATTTGTTGTATCAAAAATGTCATGCTGCTTAAATATATATTTTACTAGTTTGCAAAAAATATATAGGCCTATTTCTCATGTGCACTTTGCTTCTGAGTCTCTAGAGGTCATCTTTGCTTTAGTTGTGGTAAAGAAAAGTTCAATCTGTTTTACTGGACCAGTGTCTATCCTCTCTCAGTTTGGAATTTGTTCATGTCTTTAGATCCCAAACTAAAAGTCAGCTGCAATAGTGAAGATCCTTTCCAACTTTCAGTATGATCCATGAAAATCTTGCTCTTGGCATTTGGCACATCATGGAGAAGATACTGCTAACTGTTCAAGTGATCATGTCCCAAATATTTTCCCTATTTATATTCTATTATTAAAGCCATGTTAGGCCTTTTGTTCATTAATGTTTTTTGGGATATATTGGCACTAGTTCTTGGACCAAACTTGAGGTCAGTTGTTTGGGAATGTGTTAGAGAGAATGTCTTGTTCCTTGTTGGGACATGCCTTTGGTCTCGGTACATCAAAGGGCTGAGCAGTACCTCCACACAGAGGTATCTAGAGTTCAGAATCTATCAGCATTGGTATACTCATGCTCTAATAATCAAATCTTGTCATCTGGCTTCATGCTTTGATGGTCACATGGTATTCGCACCCGCTTCTCTCTGGCTGCTTCATTGTAATACTTTATGCCACTTCAAACTTTGTTGTTTGAACTGTTTGGGACACTATGAACAATTGAATACTCATTGGCATGAAAATGAAGAGCCATCTCTAAACCTTTTCACAGTCTTTGATATAATGTTTCATCTTTCTTAGAATTTGGTGAATGGGAAAATGGTGCAGTGTACTTATATAACTACATGTGTAACATGCTCATTCATCTTAGTTTCAGAGGAAACTAAGAAATCACGATGAATGGTGCTGTTGTTTGTGGACTCTTAATGGAATTTGGGAGCTCAGGGAATCTGTTACAGGAATTGGAGGAGTTCAAGGCAGTGACAGATCTCAGGTGAGCAGTAGGTTGCACCTGCATCCTTCAAAAGTTCAGCAGACTGAAACTTTTTTGAGTTAATCCTCTTCTAGGCTTTGTCGTCACATTTTGTTCCCTTTTTGGCTGCTGTGCAGAGCCTCTAATTTTTTATTTGACCCTGGAGAACTTTTCACAGATGCCATGAGAGAGTTAAATCTTCTTGTTTCCTTCAATCATTCATCATGGTCTCATAACACGTAATGCTAGCGTCAATCATCATTCTGCCAGATAGCACCTGAATTTCCACCCACATTCACTTTACATTCTTACGAACATGTATGTGAAGTAACATAGCATCCTTGTGATATCAGATAAATGTCTGAGAGTTGAAATCTGGGAAGGGTGCACCAGACTGATTAAGATAATGACTTGAATATTCCTTAGAGTGGAATTATCTTCTTCCTTTGTCTGATCTCTCACAACATAAAAAACAGCTGGTTGTTTTTTTTATACCAATCGTAAGATGATAGATCTAAACACACCTGTTTGAGCTTTAGGGTATTATGAGGATATTTCACTAATTTGTTTTCTGAGCACACACAGACCAATTTCTGCAGGTGTGGGTGACACAATTGAAAAGGTTTCTTGAACAACTTTATGCTGTCCTTCGTGAGGGCTGGGATGAAATCCCAAACTCGTGACTGAGATATGTAACTTCCTTTTTTCACTTCACAAGCAAACCTTTATTCTGGAATTAAACAATGCACCCTTGAAATGCCATCCTTTTGATGGTTAATGCTGTTTCATAAACACATTTGTGAAAAGAAAGAATGTATGTGTTAACAGTTTAATTGATCGATGACAATACGAGTATTTTTAGACCAATTAGGGCTCGAGCCAAAATAGATGCCGGTTCATCCTTCCTGCCAAGTCTGGATCGGAGGCAGCAATCGGTTATGTGAATAGCTGGGGAAAA